AATTAGTTAAAAATTTTCTATTTTGGCATGTAGCATTTGCTAACTGCTAATTTATATGAAAAAGAGAGAAAAGGGATAAAGAAAAAGGTTAAAGTGGTAGTTACAGGTGCTTCATTAGATTTAGATGTATTTTGTTGGGAGAAAAAAACTTCACATTTGAGACTTTGTGCTTCTGTTCTCTTAGATCATGAGATACATTCATTCGCTTTTAGTGATGATACAATTAATTTGTAGCCTTGGATTTTTATCAGCCTGAATCCCTCTGTTACAGAGTGACTATTAATATTTAATCTAAGAGCTTTAACATTAATAACCATTACCTAAGTTCACTGTTTCATTATAGGTGATAAAATAGTCATTTCTAATTTTATTATGCTTTGTGGTTATTAGATGGGATTCTTTTTTCAATATTTTATTTATTATTTTTATTTTATGTGTATCAGTGTATTGCCTGCATATATATGAGTGCACCCCTGTCGTGCAATGCCGTGGAGGTCAGAAGAGGGCTTCAGATTCTCCTGGAGCTGGAGTTAAGAATGGTTCGCAGCTGCCATGTGGGTGTGGAATCGAACCCGCGTCCTCTGTAAGAGCAGTCAAGTGCTCTTAAACACTGGGCAATCTCTCCAGCCCCTAGATGGGAGTCTTCTAAAACAACTAAACAAAACATATAGAACATGTAGAAACAGGAGGATCAGGAGATCAAAGCCAGCCTCTGCTATATAGTAACTTCAAGGCTAGCATAGGCTACACGAGACCCTGTTTCAAACAAGCAAACCCAAACTGGAGTGCTCTGGAAACATAATTCATATAAGAAAAGTAATTCATATAGAATAGGCAAAATAAATACTTGAATTGCTTAAATATTCCTTTTTACTTAACAGTTTTCAAAAGTTGTTTTGAGTTGTTTTGCCTCAACAACCACCAAGAGATTTCTCTTCTTATATTATTTGTATCATGGATTTTTATAAATTTGGTAGCAGTTCGTTTTTGGTTTTGTTTTTGCTTTTGTTTTTTTAGACAGGGTCTTATTATTTAGCCCTGGCTGACCTGCCTCTGCCTCAGGAGTGCTGGGATTAAAGGAGTGTGCTACCATGCTTGGCCCAATTTGGTGAATTTTTATATCTATTTAATCACTATTCAGTTTTACTACCTAAAGAATCCCAACTTTAGGCCAGGCAGGAGTCCCATGAAAGTTGGCTCCTTTGACTTTTGACATGACCCCATTAATCTTTATATATTTTCTTCTTTCTAGCTTGACAAGATATCCTGGGTTCCTCCTGTATATTTTCTGTCTCTAATCCAGAATCATCAATTTTTTTAAAGCCCAGATTAGTTACCAGTCTGAGCACTAACGAACCACTCATTGTTAATGAGTTGTCGATGCTTCTAAACCTTAAGAGGCGAGAAAAATACTATATTTATAAAGAGAAAATCAGCATGTACTTTTCCAACTGAAAGATTATGTACTTTTTGCTGAACTCTTTTGTTTGAGGGGAAGGGAATTGTGTGATAAGGTCTTACTTACCATGTTGCCCAGACTAGCCTGAAACTCCAGATCTTTTGGCCTCAGCCTGCTGACTACTGAGATTGTTGTCACATGCCCTTACACCCACTTTACTGAACTCTTTTTAGTATTATAGTTATTTCTTTTCTGTGTGACCCTTATTTTTGTTTGTAATGACTTAGAGTTACTTGTTGATATATTTAAATCTCAATAAATGTACATGACATTAAAAATGAGAATTTCAATATTATTGCTAATGGAAAGACTACTGAATGCAATTTAACTTTCTTAGAGGCTCCTTTTGCCCTTAAGATACATCTTGTCAGAGATAATACAGTCAGAATAATGTGACTTAAAAGTCACAGAAAGAACCAGGCTCTGTGGTACATGTCTGTAACCTCAGCACCCAGATGGCTGAGACAGGAGGCTCTTAAGGCTAGTTTGGACTCCATAGTAAGTGAAGAGATCAGCCTGGGTTATATAGGAAGACCCTGTCTCACTTAAAAAGCATGAACAAACTTTAGTGGTACCCACCTGTAGCCCCAGCATTATGAGGAGGCAGCAGGATCAGGAGCTCTAGGTCATCCTCAGTTACACAGTGAGTTCAAAGCCAGTCTGCGCTACAGGAGACCCTATGTCACAAAACAAACCCAAAACCCCACAACCAAAAACCCATCTTGAAATCTTAAAAAAAAATACTAATAACAATAATTGAAAGTAATGATTTTCTGTGTACTGACTTGATATTCAATTAGGTTTGGTTTCAGTTTCTTTACCAAAAAAATTTAAAATAAATTTAGTAGTTTGGTTTTATCTTCAGTTTTTTTTGAGAACCATATAACACAGTTGTATAATTTCATTCCATGTGCTCTTTCTCTGATTACTTATTATTGGTATATAGAAAGGCTACAGACTTTTGTAGATTAATTTTGTAACCTGCCACTTAACTGAAAGTGTTAATAATTTCTAGGAGTTTTCTGGTGGAGTTTTTGGCATCTCTTAGATATAATATATCATCTGCAAAAAGGGATAATTTGATCTCTTCTTTTCCAATTATTCCTTCTTTAATTTCTTTCTTTTGTCTTATTGCTCTTGCAAGAGTTTCAAACACTATGTTAAAGAGGAGTGGAGAAGAGTGGACAGCCTTTTCTGGTTCCTGATTTCAATGGGAATGCTTCCAGTTTTTCTCCATTTAGAATGATGTTGGCTGTGGGTTTATATGGCTTTGATTATGTTGAGATATGTTCCCTCCAGTCCAGTTCCCTCTCGTACTTTGAACGTAAATGCATGTTGAATTTAGTCAAAGACCTTCTCTGCATCTATTGCAATGACCATGTGGTTCTTGTCTTTGAGCCCATTTATATGATTTATGACGTTTATTGACTTATGTATATTGAACCATCCCTGCATCTCTGGAATAAAGCCAATTTGATCATGGTGGATGATCTTTTTGGATGTATGTCTGTATGCGGTTTGCAAGTATTTTGTTGAAAATTTTTGCATCTAAGTTCATTAAAGATATGGGTCTATAGTTTTCTTTTTTGGTTGTATCTTTACCTGGCTTTAGTATTAGAGTGATGCTGGCTTCATAGAAGGAATTTGGAAGTTCTCCCTCCTTTTCTATCTTTTTGAATAACTTAACTAGTATTGGATGTAGCTTCTCTTTAAATGTCTGATAGAATTCTGCTGTAAATCCATCTCGTCCTGGGCTTTTTTTAGTCAGGAGATTTTGTATTACTGTTTCAATTTCCTTATGTGGTATGGGTCTGTTTAAGCTGTTAATCTCTTCTTGCTTTAGCTTTGGTGGTTCCCATGCTTTTAGGTCCCGTCCATTTCTTTTATGTTTTCAAATTTAGTAGCATATAGGTTTTTAAAATATTCCCTTACAATGCTCTGTGTATTTCTTGTGTCTGTTGTGATACTTCCCCTTTCATCTCTGATTTTCTTGATTTGGAGGTTCTCTTTCTTTCTTTTGGTCAACTTGGCTAGCGTTTTGTCAATCTTGTTTATCTTTTCAAAGAACCAGCTCTTGGATTTGTGATTCTGTGCCTTGTTTTCTTTGATTCAATTTCATTGATTTCTGCCTTGATTTTTGTTATTTCTTCTTGTCTGCAGGGTTTG